GTTGTTGTTGTTGTTATCATTATAATTATCGCTATCACCACTGCCATCATAATCACAACATTCTGCAAACTGCACGATTTAAACAGGTTAAGAGATTATTAAGAATCTTCCTAACAACATTATATGTTTAAAAATCACATCATTTTGAACCTAGTTCTGTGTTTTGCGTACAGAAGTATGTCACTTTCCTTGCTTAGGCGTTTTGTGTCAGTCCGTTTGCAAAAGAAAACCACACACCCGCCTTTAACGTTTCAAAGTAACCCGCTACTAACCTCTGTTTAAAATCCATTTTAATAATATCCTCTCATCGACATCTCAATTTCCCAAATAGTCTTCTGAATTGAAGATTTCGACTAGAATTTTGTACGAATTTCACATCTCAAACGCGTGCTACTTGTCTCGCCCAGCACATCTTACTTCGTTTACATTGCGCTATACCCAGTGGTAGAGCCCGTGATACTGACTGGATTGGGGTCCATGAGTCGAGTTGGACTGACAGCGCACACAGAGATAATTCCCTGTTCTTCCGAGAAACCAACTTCTATCTTCCACCCACAGTCACATCACTGATCGAACTGCCATGACTCTTCGATAAATAATGGAGAATGTTATATACTTTACACAGTGTTTAATTTAGAAGTTACATCCTTTAATGAAACTAATATATTACGTTAGACATATTTCCCTCAAACGACATACTTTTCACTAAATGAAGACAAATTGGGAGCAGGCATATGTCAGTATACCGTGCTAGATGACTGGGGTTCGATTCTCGGTAGTTGGAAAACTCCTACAGTCATGTATTATGGGCACTGATTACAAAATTAAGAGAATGTCGTTATTGTTGTTATTATTATTATTATTATTATTGATGCAGCACTCTAATAAAAAGAATTGAATTAAATTACCATTATCATCAAAATCTTTTCCATCCTGGCGATCAGACCCACATCTGCTACAAAATAACTGTTATGTAACATAAGTAAAAAAACATTTTAGACTGCAGTTTTTTAACATTAAACTTTTTTAAAGCATTGTGATGTTCCGGGTTGTGACGCCGTGTGGATTGTCGATAACACCAATGTTTCGGATAAACGTGCTGTTTCCATCTTCACGGCTGTAGCATTTTTCGATATGGTGCGTATTTAAATAATTGTAAGGATAGATTACTTACAAATATATCCATGCAGTAATAAGCCAATGAGGTATACAAAATTGCGAAATAAAGAATTTTGGAAAATAAAAAAAAGTCTGAGACAGGAGAAACACATCTTATACATATTGTAATTAAATTTAAAGTTAGAACTGTAGATTTTAAAATGTATTTTTTGTTGTTGCCCTTCAAAGTCCTTTTGTATATTTTAAAATGTCTTTTTTTGTTGTTGCCCTTCAAAGTCCTTGAAATAAATATTTTTAAATTGGTTTATACATAATACTACATAAAACACACTTCGAATTTGTAATCAAAACACATATGTGGCGGTATTGTGGCTGTCCTCGGTAAAATATATTGTGCTTAACAACGAACCTCTTTTCTTAGAAATTCAGAGCTGACAAAATCAATAATTCCACATGCTGCTAACTGAAAGTGATTTATTCTCACGCCAAGCGAATACGTCACAACTGGGCGCAAAGAGTTAGCAAGCTGATCTCGACTGTATTAAGGAACTGGGAAGCAGCTACAAGAATACGGGACACACGCTGGCATACCAACATGTAGCACCTAGCATTTTGTATATTGAACAAATTCAGCGTTTGCTTTGTTCGTATAAATTAAGCAGACCATTGCGTTAGACAAGTGTGTGCAAATATTACGAGGAATCGCCTTTTATGTGGTGCATTCAGGATTCCGAAAGATCGCACATCAGTTTTCATTCTCCAACAACAGTCGACCCTAAGCCGAAACAAAATGACAAAAAACTGAGTCTAGACCTCGGAACAAAATTGTTAGCTTCATGATCCGACCTACTTTACCCCCCGAATAAGAGACCTCAGTACCCGTAAAACAGGAGTACTGTTGGCCACATGGAGGTCCCAGACGTGAACAAAAACCAACCAGCCAGCCCAGATAGTAGACAGTGAGTTATCCCGAATCATGTTTATATGACGTCACCAAACAGACTACATTTAACATTTCAAGTTACAATGATTCAGCATCAGGGGCAGAGCGTTTATGTTAACCGTGTTAGCTCGGCTAACACTATGAAAAATGAAAAATAAAGTCTTCAGTGTTATTTTAGTTTTTCAGTGATACTCCACACACACTGGAACACAGCAGAACCGATTGGATAAAATGCATCGTTAGCCAGCTAGTTGAGGTTTACGCTCGACGCGAGCGTAAGAACGCTAACTACGCCTGGCTGGCTGTAACTGGCTAACGATGCACTTTATCCGATCGGTTCTGCTGTGTTGTTTTGTATGGAGTACCTACCACTGGACCATGAAAGTTTATTTGTTATTTTACGTTTTCCAAAATGTTAGCAGGACTAACACGGTTAACATAAACGCTTCGCCCTTCTTCAGTATGTATTATCACCAAATCAAAATATTTCATGTGGCTGTCGTTTTTCTCAAAAGGCTTTAATAACAGTTTTTTTTCAATATCTATGGCCATACACATAGCCAACAAGTGTGACGCTAGACTCTTCCCTCTTCCCATGCAGCCTACACACTATGATGATGCAGACTGATGACAGCCAAGTTCCAGGACTGCGTATCCTTCCATGTAACGTCGTTGAAGAAAACGGGTCAATTGCTTTCAACAAAAAAACGTATTGATGCCCGTAACTGAATCATAGAACGGAGACCTCTTTAATTGAGTTTCGAAGGAGGAAATCAGCTCCTTCGGAATCCTAAAGTGGCTTGCCCTACTTGAAATAGTTTTCTACTCCTCAAATGTAACAAATTCTTTGACACGTATTCAAGTGTATGTAGTCTGAAGTCATTTAACCACGGAAACGCATATCACAACGTCTGTGTGATGTCAATGTATCGTTAAAGAGGCAACGCGTTCATTACGTATTATTTTCATAAACGTGATGATTTACAAATACAGAGTGTCCCAAAAACATTTACACACAACAGCAATTTTGGTAACTGCTTGTCTGTCAGTTTCTCACCGCTGTTAATTTAACTCCCGCAGTTAACGGAGATCATTGTGAACACCTACACTATATTCGCTAATACAATGAATGCCAATGCTGACGTATGTGATGATTTCGTTTATTAAAATGTCCTTATTTCATTCAACGAATATGTGTACATGTATATCTTTTTGGAACACTATAAACTTTTGTAGTAGGATTTAAGGTTCTCACGGTGGTGGGTATGAAGATGGCTGTCTTCCGGGTTGTAGCGCCGTGTAGTCTAGCAGAAGTTTACCGACGTTTCAGAGATGCTTACTGCCTCAATCATCAGAGCTATCATATTGTCTCGTGAGTTTTCATGTGTCAGCGTTAGACTTACGAGCCAGTTCCGTACGTCTGCTTCGACGTTTTATACACTTCATTCTTAGATGACATTTGTTATTTAATTCCAAAACACTGTAGCACACACAGAGTGCCCGGTTTATCTGCGCTCTGAGAGCCGTAGAGCTGATATAAGAAAATGACTGTATATCTAGTTGTCAGTCAAATGGGATAATTTATATACGAGACTGAGTATAAGAAAAAGAAACAATATGAACGGATGGGATGACATAATAATTCGTGGAAGTTTACGTATCATCTAATGAATACACAATACACCATAACTCATACCAAAAAAACACGTATTTCTCTTCAGAAAATGTGTTCACGCGCTCATGTTCTCCATTATTCGGTGACAAACTTCGATATTATACACGATGTAAGGTTTTCACGGCGCTGTAAACTTAGATAGTGGTCTTCTGCGCAGTTGCTCAGCGCAGGCTTATAGATATATACCAAAATTTCGGGCAAACATGCTACCTCACTCATTAAGGCTGAATTGAGGAGGATTAAGCCATCCTTCCTGGTTCTGCATTTAACCCTGTTACCAACCTATCAACATGCTAACCCTCCTCAGTTCAACCCTGCGCAATATCTCCTAAGGCTGCCATCTTCATGTAAGTATTATGTTCTCCGAAACGTTATTATAGAACGGGACGACACGGTGTAATAATCCAGAACCACTAACTAAACTCCCACAATTGTTCTGTGAGAGCAAATGCTATAACATAGCTTATGAATGCCGCAGAAACATGAGGCTAATGTACCGTCTCATATATGGAAAGTTTGAACTAGATGCTATAAATCCTCGTGGTTGCTATGCAGATTTCTTCAGTCATTTGTTCTAATACTCACAAATCTCACTTCCACTTCAAGAAACAGACTTTAATTCGGCAGAATGTGGTTCAGTTCCACCAGATTTTTTTGACAATCACGACTAAAGTCTTCAGTTATATTCGTCGGAACCTCTGAAAAGAATTTCATGTTTATAAATACACAAGAGAGTAGACGGACGCTTAATCGCTACATTACAAGAAAATGTTTTGATATGAGGGAGATTAAGTCGCTGGGAGATTGTACAAGTCATTTTGATATTTTAGGGCACCGGTAGTGAATCTCAAGAGTTTAAGATTGGCTGGACATATAACACGGATGGATGTGAAAATAAATAGGCACAGAATTTTGATAGAGAAACCTGTAGGAATGTTACCAGTTGGAAGACCAAAAATGCGATGCAAGAATAATATTAAATGTATACTAAGGAAATCTATTCCGAGAATGGGAAGTGGATTAAGGTGGTCCAGAATCGTGTCCAGTGGTGGATTTTGCGTTGGTGTTGAATCTTGGGAGTTTACTGATAGAGGGTTGCTTAATTAGATTAAACTGAAATTGAATTTATATTGGTTAATTGTAATTAATGTTGAGACAAAGTTACACAATTATAAACATAAAGGCCTCCATATATATCTGACTCTGTGGAATAATTTAAGGGAATTTAATAGTCGACTATTAGGCCTTAAAAGCATTCTGTCAATCTTAGCAGCGTTCAATTTAACAACATATACGGTCTCAACAAATAATTTCCATGTAATTATAATCTAAATATATATATTCTGAGTGTAAACATCACAAATGTTGATATATTCATATAACTGAGCCTAGATACTCATTAAACCTGATCGTAATTTTAAAATGTAAAATACATCACACAAATTTTAAACGCTTATACATATGATAAACATTATGAAATATTAACCAAATAACAAGGTTCAGCAATAAAACTGCCCTTTCTACCACATGATGCACATTATCCTCCATTGTACGACGGCAAAAATTTACGTTTGTGATACGAAACCAAAAACGCCATTAAACTTGAACACAAGATTCTACTCACTGTGATGCTGCTACGTGAGGGACCCTGAAACCATTGTTGTACCACGTGCGCCTGGACTGACGTACCTTACTCTGATGATGCGAGGGTTGTGCCAGGGGGCGCTCTGCCGCAATGCTCCACCCCTCTCACCCTACTCCATCCCTCTACCCTCTTGGCAGGAACTTTGCTTTTGCTACTTTCTATTGATTCAGAAGCGACCCTCGCTGTTCTATGGCCACGCAAACACAATTTCTCACTCCTTCTGCTGTTTCTTTATAACAGATTAACACAACACACGATCCACACATAACATTAGAATGTAATCTTAAGATACTGGAACCTTCGTTTAACAAAACCTTACGTTGTCATGGAGGCAAATGACGGCGGCAGTCATGCGTTCTTCCGTTAGCCCATGTATAAAAGTTCATGTGTCATGATAAAGACTTCGTATTTTTTCGAATTAAAGCTGCAGATATCTGATTAGACACTTATTTCAGTAATGAATCAGATCACAGAGACAGAAAGTCTTCGATCCTTACACCGAGCAGGTTAATGTAGCGGTAACACTCTAGAACTGTATTTGGAAAAGTGCCCAGTTCGAATCTCGGCCAGACTGCCTCCTATCCTAATTACCTACTTTGTTATCTGTCTGTCTGTCTAGAAGAACGCCGGAACAGGGACTGCAAATAGGTCACAACTGCTTCTTTCAAAATCCTTACCTACATAGCATCCACAACATTTTTTTATTTCTTTCAACACAGTTTCATCTATGCAGATTAAAAAGAGTCGCTAAACAAATGATCAATATATCCTGCTATAAATAAATACTACACGAAGTGTGGTATGCAATGTTGCAAAATAAACTGATGGCACAAAGCGTATTAATACAACTGTTGGCTAAAACGCCCGACTTGCATTCAAAAGGTATTCGTATGGACAATCAAATACATTGACAAGCGTTCGTTGGCTTTCTTACTCACTGAAGGAACAGTACATTCAAAAGGGTTAAAATCGCCACTTTCCGTACATTTTTAATAATCTTCCCGTATCATTCAATACTTAATTACATTTGCAGTTGCAACAACTTCGTCCAAAAGCCAGAGATCTACTAACATAGGCCATACACTAAGGAATAAATGTACCAACAGCAGCATTAAGCAGTGTTAATAACACAAACAAGTGGAATGTGCAGGGTCTTTATTGAGGTTATAGCTGTTCAGCTGATACAGCATAACAACCCAGGATGTCATCTTCTTGTACACACAGACATAAGTTCAACTACTTTCCTTAACAGTTTGTTCTTAAACACCTCGAATAAACACTCTTCCCTCATTGTGAAAGACGAAGTTTCACATCCACACAAGCCAAATTATAAAATCTACAGAATAACTGTAACTTACGCCATCGAAGATAAGGTCAATTTTGCCTTTGAAGATACGATGGAATCCTAGCCTTCTGAAAGCACAGGAAACGCGTTCTCTTGTCACCATGCTCTTAGACGCTTTCATTACCCCTTCCGTAAACATAATTATCATTTACATAGGTTTCTTGCTCCAATAAAAAAATACTACTTTCAAAATAAATTGTTCACACTCATTCCTTTCAAAACGATATTAATATCCCCACACCAGAATAAGCATAGCAAGTTTTAGGCTGTAGAACAGCACTTTATTGACTGAAAAGTGAATGTTCCGTCAAATAAGTTGCAAGAATGATAATTTATGAAAGGGTAAGGTGGAAGATACTGTAAACAGCTACTACCGTGATTATAACTCATGCTTCCAGCTTCTCTCTTACCTTCATCTTCGGCCACCTGACATCAACCACACTATCAACTCGAACATGGTATTCACTGTACTATAACAGGCCGTATCGATCTTCACTTTCTCATGTCAAAGTTGTGGCTGAATGGTTATCACTCCATACTTCATTTCTGAGTCTCAGGTTTGAATCTAGATTCTGAGACCAGTTATCTTGAGCGATATATTTTGTTTCCCACAACCAATTATTTTGACTGAGGTACGTAGTTGTTTCCTCAAGTTCGTGTAGGCAAATACTTGGTTATTTCTTTAAAATAGGCTACGGCTTTTTCCATACACCTTTCCAATTCTTCGACCAATCAAAGCTATATAAATTTTGTAGTTGAACAGTGTCATAAAATAACACAAGAATCAAACTGCTCCCTGCTTTAGTACTGACCAAATATGAAGGAGTTCTAATCATTTTGACACGTTTAATACCTCCACATCTAAGTTTCGAGTAGTGTCAGTTGTATAAATATTAGGGTAATCACGGATTATTTATGATGGCCCTTGGCTGGCACAAGTGCAGAAGGAAAGACAAAGAAGAGAAGGGGGAAATTAACGCCAAGTTTCGATGCCAGTATCAAGTGTTACTCCTGGATAATATAATTCCTTCGAGAGCATAAACAAATTAAAATGGGTGAATAAATTGCAAGATGATAAGACAACACACAGAGGTTGTCACAAGACTACCGACCCTGGAAAAAACTATGATGAGAAATCAAGCGGGGCAAAATACAGGAAGTACAAATTTTATGTCAGACATATAGTCCGCAACTGTAATCTTGAGACCTGCGGGGTGAGGAAGTGGGGTGAAGGAGGAAAGATGGCGCCTGCCTTTAATGCTACGGACTTACTGCATTCCTTGCAGGTCTTAAGATTACAAGACGATATTCCCCAGACTGTGCAACATTTTATTTATTATATTACACTGTACACAATATCCAATTCAACTAAACTTTATTTATAGCCACATTTAAATAGAAATGTGACTAATAAATAACAAGTTTTTACCACGGCTTCAATCAATACTGAACGCCAAGGACGTTCACGCTCCGGTTTGAAAGCGTGATTCCGATTTTCAACGGATACTTCGTAAGACTTTTCCACATAAATTTGACTTGATTTATAGACACAGCAGAATTTTTTTCATTCACCAGTGCTCCTCACATACAGAAATTTAGAAAACAATTAACAGTTTTCAAAGTTTGTGTAACAAAATATTCCGAACTTAGCTACTCAAATTAAGCAGTTCCTGCAAGAGTTGAAAAAGACTTCTTTGGCTGAATTTCCACCTTGATTTTACTTCCACGAGCGAGAAAGCTGTGTTTAAAGATGAACGTGAAATCACATCCTGCGATAATCATCCCTGGCTTTTATAATATCCATAATCTCAAAAACCTACAACAGTCTAAAGTTAAAACATGTGGAATTACCTAAATTTAATCTATTTCAAAGGTATGATTCAATTTACTGCTCTTTGGCCGCTAGTTTTCGTTTTAGTGACTCTGGCATCTCAGGTGGTGGGGGTCGTGGCATACGCAGCCACACTTTCACCGCGTCATATATGAACCACTGAGCGGCTGTCAGAGTGCCGATCATAATGATCCTGGGAGCAAGACCCTTCCACAGACCTGTAAAATAAATAAAAGTAAATTACAATACATTACTTCAATTGCTTTTACGTTCAAAGCTCTGCCTATCATTTCTACAATATATTTATAGGTTTAATTTGTTTCTTCTCAATAAAGAGTATATATTTTCCAAATGATCATTTTGTAATGGTGACATGGTGTAGTTTTCTATCATTCAGATGATGAGTTTTGCCCTTGGAAGATGCCCACATTAATAATTTTCCAACAAAATTTAGCTTTCAGATTTTGAATAAAAAATTCAGTCAAGCTTCCTGGAGCTCTGATGGTCTTTCACTATGTGGGTGCAGCGAATCTTCACAGATCTGATGGGGCAATTCCAATTTTACAGTAAATGTCCTCTGTCCCAACTCATTTGAACAACTAAGTGACTAAAAATACAGAACAAAGAACTGCATAATAATTCAAGAGTTCCACATCTTACACGGTTGTTGCGGAGACATTGAGATCATTGTCAATCAACTACTACACAGTTTTTACACACATGAATTAAGGAAAATCAAATTACTCGGGGATTAATTTCGTACTACACAGCTTTTACACACATGAATTAAGAAAAATCAAATTACTCGGGGATTAATTTCGTAATTAAGCGGCAAGGACGGCCAAGCTCACAGCTGATAAATTCAAATTGGAAAAGTGAAGAATGGGTGTGGGAATGGAATAATATACAACTTTACAAATGTAAAATGTCATCTTACCAGCAAAGCCAAGTTTCTTTGCAGCCTCAAGAGCAGTAGAACCCTTCTCCTGGTTCAGTTTCGATACAACTGTGTCTGCAGGATGAGAAACAATCGCACAGAATACTCCAGCTATGTAGCCAGCAGCAAATGTTACCACTAGCTGTTCTGCCTTGCTACACTCATTACGGGGCTTTGGTACAACATACCTGAAAACAGAGGTTTCAATTTAAAGGATGTTAAATGGCAAAAATGTAAACTCTGCGATGCTTCCAACACGTGGTTAATGTAACACGAGTCATACGTAAATGATATGACGCACGATGAAATCTCTCATTTAATTTATTAACTTCCACAGAATATGCACTTTCTCTTATGTACCACATAGTGCAATGTATAGAATAAACTTCTGCCTGCTTTGCAAAAGTATCTTTATTGTGCAACCTTTTCATTTGAAATATTTTCTGGCCATCTAATTTTTAGAAGAAACCTTAGACATATGTTGATATAACTTTGTAATTTTTGCATTAGCTCTTTAGTGACTTTCCAAGTCTCACAGAAAGATTTTACGTTAGTATTGAAAATTCTCAATTTAGTATTTAGAGAGAATGAGTTTGATTTCCAAACAGATTTCAACTGGGCAAAAGCTCCTTTTGCCTTTTTAATTCTGTTTATATCTCATTTATAGTATAAAATATTAAAATGGTGAAAGACAAGCAGTATATTTGGCCCACAACATATATTAGCTGTACATGCGCAAATAACATACCTGTACAGTAACTCTACCGTCTTCTCAAAGCACGCAAACTTCATCATGGTGTAAAAAAGAATCTGCCTCATCCAAAGGGGAACAAGTCCTTTGTAGAATCCATTCAGACCCTCATCTTTGTAAATTATTGGCATGGCAGCCCGTAGCGTACTAGCAAACCCAGGCTGCGTCTGAATTCGTACCTTAACAGCGATAACACAGACACTTAGTCACTAAAGAACTGACTTCCCAATGTCAATTCAACAGTGAAGATGGAGAGAGTATGCTTCTCTAAAAGTTGGCTTTGACCAGCCAGTCCGCATACTACAGCCAATAAAGAAGTTGGAACAGTCCTGTTTTCTGGGACAAGAACAGTAACAGTGAAAAATATTCCCTGCAGAAGAGAGCCACAAACAACAAAATGTAGCAAATGTTTTAAGAACACTCTGAAGATGGTGGCTAAAACAGAGGAGACTGCTATCCAAGTGCACCTGCTTGCAGCAAGAACACAGCCTACACCTGCCTACTCATCAGACCTCACGCCATGCAACTACGTAACCATCTCCCTGGAATGTTAACACTGGCAAATAACCGGAATACACAGCGACAAAAGGACTATGTTGAGACATGTTATTTGTACTATAAAGATACACACATTTTACAGGAAAAAGAAATGATTCAATTTGAATTACTTCTGTGCATATAAAACAAGTATCATATGCAATAGTTTCCTAAATTTTGATTTTTTGTGCGTGCGTCCAATACGTACCTTCGCTGCCTCCATGGGACTCAGGGCAATGTCTGCAAAGAATTCAGCGGATGCAGAAGCTGCTAGGTAAAGTGTTGTCCGCCATACGTATGAATTCTCCTCTCCCAGCAAATTAGAATAGAAAACTTTGAAGACCTCGTATAGACCAAACTTGAAAAGACCCTAAAACACGAAACGTAATATCAGATTTACCAATGCATAAGAATCTTTCTCATACATGCTAACTGAACTGTCATCTGTAATGCACATATTAAATGTCATGCAACAATACAGGTCCTTGGCCTGAACAAGTGGTTTGCTAATGCATTGGGGCTGGGGGGGTAAAACACTGTAATTCCACTATAGCCTTTATATAATTATTTACATCAAGACACTGACAGATACGAACTAATTTCTTACGTTAAGCGACATCCAGCTACAAAAAATGCAATCCTAATTAATTTGTCAATCAGTATTTATTCTATCCATAACTGAATCATGGGGTAGGACAGATAGAAGGTGTTGTAAACTAAGCATTTGTTTATAACTGTACTTTCACTGAATATCAGTTTTGTTAAGATTTATTGTGTGTCCCCAAACCTGCATAGAGTAGCCATAGAATGTTGGTGCCCATCCTTTAGCCAGGCCACGTGTTCCATCCTCCTGAATTGTTACCTGAAGAGCAAAGAAAAAGCGAACCTGTATTCTCAACAAAATTATTTACAATACATAAGCTCTGACAACTGCTTTTGTACTCATTTTTCCATCATCATCATCATCTACTACAGGGATTGGGCCTATTGGCCCATTCCGGGACAGTTGCTCAAGGCAACTTGTCCGTGTTAGTCTTGTAAGGTGCATTTGAGTAGTGCACAATTTCTGCTCAATCCTGATTTGACTGCCAGAGCCATCTAGCAGTGAATCAGGAGAGACTTGGGTGAGAAATGGCTGCTGAAGTTTGCTTACGAAACATCTCGTATCATGCTTGTAAGGTTCTCTTACATGCCGTAAATCTGAAGGAAGTTGTGCTACAGATTTTTATCACCCATCCATCGACCTCAGCCGGGATCGAACCCGCGAATCTTGGGTCCAGTGGTGAGCATGCTAACCACTAGTCCACCGAGATCCTAAATGTTTAGTTTCCCTTGCATTTCTCATGCCAAATGAGTTCAATCAGCATACAAATAGATGACTATTACCTGGTATATCCATTGTTATTTAAGTTTACATAAAAAAGAATGTTTATCATGAAAGCTGGTCAATGTCATGTGACCTCTTTCATTCATAGGCACTACCTTATCATCAAAAACTATAAAATGATTGGCATCCAGACCTATGATATAATACGGCATCAGTTTGTGCAGCCCTAAGATTTATAAAGAAATTCTGACCAAACTTGTGTAACACAGGTCATAATTTACAGCTGTAGGAAATTACTCAAGAATCATTCTTATTTATGAGGCAGAAGACCAAACTGTTTTGGAGACACTGTCCCACAGCTATTAATGGTTAGATTACAAATTTTAAACTAAACTTTACCTCAAAACTAACAAGTTACAATTAACTGACAACAGGAATTTTCAAAATTGATCTCTATCAAAATCTTTTTTCTTTCTCTGCTAATGTAACCTGAAGCACACTGTCAAATTATAAAATCATTCTGGAAGCATACAAATTGATGATTGCCACCACATCCACAAGACACTGTGCATCACACACAAAATAAAATCACACATTTCTTATAATACTAAAAACGTATCTAATTTAAACTTCCTCCTACCTACAGCTTATTTTGTTTCATGTTCTTGCAGTTTGAAGAAACAGGGAGAAAAAATCCATGCAGTAAACTGTGGGAATTAAAGATGTAAAAAAATGATTCTAGGATTATTTTATGAATTTCAACTACACTAAACAAAATGGAGAGAGAAACTATGAGCAGGGAAGGGTTCAGAAGGTGATAGTTATGGCGTATTTGAAAGTACTCTAAAGGTGCTTCAAAAACAGAGAAAAAAAATGAACTGAAAACAATGTCTCCAGTAAACATATGCACAGTTAATGCATCCAAGTGCAGACTGCAGTATCTGTTCACTGGGAAAGTTTCTCTAACACACCTATGACTCACAACTTCTGATGTACACAAACTAATTTGCCGAGCCCAAGAGCTCCAGAAGCGGATCTTATGATGTGTATCATGGCAAGTGTGGCTTGTGATAATAACAAACAAGTCATCACTAACCATCATATTAAAGCTACAGCAAAACCTCCATCTGGTACAACTTAAAACAGGGGTGGCCAACCCGCATGTGGCCCGCATGTGGCCCGCCTTGAACATTTTTCCGGCCCGCGAGATTCATCACACTTTTACAAAATATCTTTATTAGTATCATTATTATTATATTATCTATGTTTACATGTAAGAATAATAGTAAACACAATAATAATAACTCATTATGTTTCAATTTTTCACTCCAAAAAAATGTCTATAGTGTATCTAAATCTAATATGGGGATATATAATTTTATATGTGGCCCGCGGAGTTATGATGCATTTCCAAAGTGGCCCGAAAGATCATTTGGGTTGGCCACCCCTGATATAGAGCGTGCAGTGATTGTTCTAGAAACCTGGGTACATTCGGCAAAGGAGCACACCCAGTATCACTACATGCAAGTCTTTCACTCATTCCATCACACATTTCACAAATCATCTGACAGCAATGATGATTCTTAAGCCAAGTTTCCATGAATAATTCCCGTTATGTTACAATTAAGAATGATGTCTGACGTGTGCTATTTTCACCTCTGTCTACACTTAACAGATGGCACCACAGTACCTAATTCACAAAGTGGCAATGCTAATGCATGTAATGGTTTGGTTTTCAATTACTGTCAGGTTGATTAAGTCGAGAAGAATGAGATGGGCGGGGCACGTGGCGCGCATGGATGGGACAAGAGGTGTGCACTGGGTATTGGTTGGGAAGCCTGAGGGGAAGAGACCGCTGGGGAGACCTAGATGTAGATGGGAGGATAATGTCAGGCAGGATCTATGGGAGATAGGAGTTGAAGGCGACTGGATTTTGTTTGCCCAGGACAGGGTCCTGTGGAGGGCTTTGGTTAACTCGGTGATGAACCTTCGGGTTCGGTAAGCCATCTAGTTAGTTAGTTATCTTTCTGGGACACCTGTATAACAGCAATAATGAAGGTACTGAAAACTACATTCCCTTTTCTATGAATGCAGGCAGACGTTGAATCTCGGCTGGCCCTACTGCCATGTACACAGCAGTACAAATGTGGGCTCGACGTGCTGTACATGATTTGGCAATGTCTAAAAATATTCTGCTGTGCACAAAAGGTACATTATAAAACTCTTGTGCTGTACTTTAACACAATTCAAATGAAGAGAATGCATCAGAATAATTATGGAATGCTGTTAGCATAATGAGGATCCATTCTGGAGACATCATAATTGAGCACATGGTACTTGGGCACAAAAATCTATGAAGGCATGATGTAGTGTGAATACTTTCAACTGTTTTACATGTAATTTCTTTATAAAATGAAAATGTTAAAGAATGATCACATAATAGCGAAACTGATGATCAAAGAATTCATATCGGAGATCACAAATGTTTCTGAGAGAGATATTATGTTCTTTGCCCTAAAAGGGCCACACAGCAAAGAATATACTTAAATATCTAAACTGATTCTTGACAACAGAATACCAAGTCTTTCTTTTTATTGCACCATTTCAGATGTCTTAATTTGATAAACCATAAATGAAATAGCAAGCTTTTCCAAATTTAGATAAGGATGAATATAAATTTCAAGTGGGAATTAATATAGGAGGCAGGGGTCTTGGCCAGATTTTATCTGATCAATAAAAGCCTTCAGGACAGCTTGTTCCTCAAACAGGAGACCTCTCATATATGAAGCAGGAAGTTGCAGACGGAGGTTTTGCCATTTACATTCACTATACTGCACACACAAACTCAGGAGAAAGTTTATACCTGGTCAAAATTACAACTATTCTTTATAAAATAGAAAATCAGTGACAACTCACCCTGAATCCCGTTACAATAGATCTGTACTTGGCAGGGTTAACCTGAATCCTGCATTTGACCAAATCTAGAGGGACAATGGCCGTATGAGTAATTCCACAGGAGAGAATTCCTCCCAGACCACATAGCGCAAAGTACTTTCTGGAGCCAAATTCACAGCTGTCTGAAAATAAATTTGTTAGGAAGAAATGAATAATATAAAATATTCATAAAAATAACCCCACACCTCAATCTTTAAGATGTTATCTACTATAAGACACATCTTGATTTAGTGATAGGTTTTCCGGAAGAAATGCATATATTGCAATAGGAATTATAAATATTCAAACATAATTATTTGTATTAATACTTTCAAAATCTTCTTTGTGTTTACTGCCCCATTATTTGTGTTATGGACAAGAAGATTTTCCTTGTGCTTTAGTCACACAACACAAATTTTCTATCATTGATTCATAGATGTCATCAAATGTGAGCTGCAACCCAATTTCTGAAATTTTAAAATGTGAAAAAAAGTGTCTTAAAATCAAGGAAATACGGTAATAAACATTTTTCCATAAATGGTTCACCATACAAAATGTGAACAGGGGCACAAGAAGGAAGAGTTCTTCCAGTTCTGTTGGTTATAACATATAGCCTGCTTTTCTGAAACAAAGCCAAATACTGCACTTAACAATGGCTACTGCAAATATTTTTACATTTTAAATGCTTCAAATGCATCAGTAAACAGAAAAGCCTAATTCTAAACTATTATGAAAGGCCCGACATAGACGAACAAATATGTTAAGTGGGCTAAAATTCTAAAAATTGGTCCAACAGCATATTAGGGCATTAAACAGATGGATTATATGTTCACAGTCCTCTTATTTCTTAACAGCATAAGGATTTTAAAGCACAAACTGAAGTCCACAAACATTCCCTTTTATTTTATTATTAATTGTGCAATATCAAAAGCCATGCGAGGGCAGTTACGAACAGACACTTAAAAAGATGGGAAATAAACAACCTTGGCATATAATTTACAGCTTTTGCACAACTGAATTATATAGTCTTCACATTCATGCAGCCAACTGCCCATAAAGCCTTAACAGAACCATGGCCTTTTTTAATTTACTAATCCATCAAGTGCCTTGAACAAAATAAGAAACCTCTCGGAACAGGCAGTTCCAACACTAGGATTACACCAAGGTATAACTGGCATATGAATTAGACATGCTCACCTGGTCTGTATTTCAACGAAACAAGTGGATAGCACCAAGCTATTACAATTTAATTCTTCTTAGTATACATTTGTTCCCATAGTCAAATCAGTGTCACAAAGGACCATGAAGAAACTGTGGAAGTATGTTTATATAGCACATTTTGACTCACCCATCATTGGTTCAATATCACAGTTCTGGGTTTAAGGAATGTGCATATTTTAGGATAGACTAGACCTATGACTGTACAGGAGCATTATGTTGTCTGTAAGTTTATTAATGCATATCTTTATACAAGATACAAATATTTCTTCACGACATATATGTAACATGTATTTATCGCCCTGATGACGGAGGCAGTATCACCTCTGAAACGTTGGTTAACATCAACTACATGGCGCAACAATCCAGAAGACAGAAATCTTCATATAGAGTAGAGTAGAGTTTATTTACATTCCATAGATCCTTCTTAGGACTCAACCAAAGGATGTAGAACATGTCATTTCATACAATATACATACACT